CTTCTCCAGGGCATCCCAAAGCTCCTTGGCAGAACCAACAGAGCTGTACACGTTGTGCAACTCGTTACTAAGCCCGTTCAGGACATAGTTACGGCAAAGGTAGTCACCTTGCCCCCAAGCATCGTACGCAGCGCGTAGTTCTGCATTGGTCTCATTCTCATAAATAACCGGAGGGTCGTCCTTCAGGTATTTCACCAAACCCAAAGTGGTCTGGTAAAAATGCATCTTCTGTTTCCATCTCTTAAAGTCAAGCCCGTTGAATTTTTCGGGCTTTTCAGCTGTAGGAACATGGACAGCAGGTACATGATTGATCGGATGCTGAGAGCTGGAACCTGCTCCGATGGATGCCATCAGTTCAGTAGGAATATATATTCTTCTTGCGATTGTTGGAAATTTGGTGTAAAATACACGGGAATCTTACGAACTGATATGTATTTTCAGTTCTTACAAGTAATCTAAAATAGAAAATTACAATTGAACTGAAAAATAAATTACAACTGAAAAACGGAAAGATTTTAGCCGAGGCGAGTAAAACTCTTTCCGCAAGAAGAATACGCCCCGTGTGGCTGCTAACGGTTAAGGCGTAACTTCCCCAAAGATACAACGGCAAACGTCTCTAAATCTGTAGCACACCAGATTTACGAGCTCCGACGAATGGAACGGAGTCGAGAATTGAGCACTTAAAAATAAAAGAAATATCTTAAAACAAATAAAAAAAATATCACTTGTATCTCTCTTTTGATAATTTTTATATCCGATATTTAGACATAAATTTTCTTTCCTTTCTCTTTCTATTTCTTTCCTCGCTTTTCCTCTCTTTTTCTGTATGTCTCTCTTCATTCGTACCGAAGCCTATTTATAGATAGCAATGAGATTCAAATCAGCCATTTGCCATATGGCTATCACGCAAACCAATTAAAGATAACATGGAGAACATGAGGCTTGAGAAATTATCAGATACAACAAAAGATAAGGCATGTGGGATGATGGGGTAGTGGCCCACTAACATTATTTTCACTCAAATTACTTACATGACATTTAGTTCAGTTATGGAGATTTGATTTTTGTAATCTCCAATTCCATTTCAAAACTTTTTTGTTGGGTTTTGCTCTTTGTCCCACATTGATTGTGGAATGAAAGAGAGGGAGATTTTTCTCCTATATAAGAAAGTGCTACTTCTTATGTAAAATCATCCCACAGAGTTATTGTGTTAACAATTAATCTCTGGTAAAAAATTCCTTAGGGTAAAAATTCCTTAGGGTGAGAGTTAAGGGTTAACGAGTAGAAAATTCTGTGGGGTAATTTTGGGTAAGTGAGTGGTAGAAAAATTGCGTAATTTTTTTTACATAGTGGATTTTCTACGGCCTTGTTGCCCTGGTGGTTTTTCCCTCTTCGTTAACAGAGGGTTTTCCACGTTAAATTTTGTGTTCTCCAGTTTTTTATTTTCAGAGGATCTTGGGCGGAGTTTCGGTGTGGTTGGAATTCCCAACAAGTGGTATCAGAGCGAGGTTAGCCTAGTTGGTATTCTGAGTATGCTCTGTGGTTGGTATTCCACATCAGAAAAGATACCAAAGAGGTCTCTTCGTGCGGTGGAGCCAGTGACGCGTGGAGCTTGTGTGCAAAGGAGTTTTTTGGGCAGTGAGGAATAATTACTGTGTAAGTAGGTTCTGTCTAGGAGACTGG